CTTTTTGCCAGAAACCTCAAAGATGTACAATAATTTGAATCATTCCACTCATTAACATTATTCCAGTTAATCATTTATTATTATACTACCACTGTAAAGACAATGAAGCAAACCTTATCAGACTCATGGTCTTTCCCTTGGTTAGTGTTGGCATGTGAATTCAATACATAATCTATTCGCACTTTGTCCTGGATTTTATGTAATTCATTACCCATTTTGAAAAAACTGGCAGCAAACTCGGCCTAAGTAACATGAACAAATTAATGCAACCTCGGACTAAGATTTAAGGTAGATCAGCGACAGAATTACATACTTTTCCCAGTTCTATCTCATACTCCTTCAGCTTCTTCTCTGTCTCTATTTTTTCAATGTTGACTCGTAGCCAAAATGCTTTCACTTCCTCTGTTTGTGCTTCATGAAGAACTAGCTAGTAACTCTGTATCGAAGGCCCTGCAAACTCCAAAGCCCACCAGAGATAACTAGCCCAAGGCATACTCAGGCTGCTTAAGTGGGAAAAAAACTGGGGGTGGAGCCCACCGAAGACGTACTCCGTAACTAGCCCAAGGCGTACTCAGGCCGCTTAGGTGGGGAAAGTTCTTGGGATGGAGCCCACCGAAGACGTACTCCGTAACTAGCCCAAGACGTACTCGGGCCGCTTAGGTGGTTGCATCGACACGTAGTCCGACTCCTTCCCTATCTCCTCGCCCCCATAATAGATATGTAAGTTTACTTTAATTCTGTCAGCAGCAAGAATCCACCTCTTATCGGTGACGATTTCGGGAATACTCTCTAGAAACTTCGTGATTGCGAAATGCTCTTCACAAGCGCTAAAGGAAAAGTCACTCTTTGTTCGACGGAAACTTAATAAAGATAAAAGGGTAAGTTTTTCAGAATCCAGAGACTCTTGCCAGCCAGTAAAATCTCGTTGTTTGACTTTGGACATTGTTCTATAATGCAGTAATGTTAATAATAATAAGGTTGAATAGTATTAGTATAGGGTTGACACGCGTTCGGCAGTTTTTTATGACATGTCGTGAAACTATATGACGTCACATGTTGCCTCAAACGCACACCCCTGTAATAGAGATCATTTTATTAGTTGCACATGACCGATTAACGTTAATCGTTTGTTAACTACAGTCGGACCCCGTTATAACGAAATGCGTTATACCGAATTTTTGTTATACCGAAGCAAGTGTTACTTTCCCTTTT